TTGGAAAAGGGACGGTGAAGCTTTGTTACGACGTTGGGGAAAGTGACTGAAGCCGAGATGCCAGATCCTGACCAATATCATTGCAGATTTTTCTGTTGTCAAGGATTTGCAATAGGTCCGTTTATTTTTATTCCCATTCACAGCAAAATCTGACTTCGTACTGCAGAACATGTCATTTGTATTAGTTTCTCTAATGTACCTGGGGGTTTACTGAACCATTTCTTGTATGCGATCACATCAAGTGCAGCTTAGCTAATCTCCTGTAAATGTTTGCAGCACTTTCTTCTACAACTCCCCCCTACCCCCCCCAAAAAAAAATAACGGACATTTTATGACATTTCTGGCCTTTCTTTCTGAAGCAGACATTATGGGTTGGAAATAGAAGCCTTTTCTTTTATATACTAGGCTTGTAGACATTTGTATAGCGTATAGCGGCTCGGATTGAGGAATCGGAGAGCCGAGTTCGAATTCCACTCAAATCCCTTACATTCAATTACGTGCTAATACCTTTGGGAAAGGTATGAATCCTCTTCTCTCCCGTGTTCTATAGCCTTGGATGGCAAATGGTTTACTGCAGAAAGAAAGGACAACCGACTGCGGTAAAAAAAAATCTGCCTCGTCAGTCCTGTATCGAAAGGTACATGATCGCGTAAGCGTTTATCACGCATGACACGTAACTGACTTAGGAGGCACAGTGGAGTTATGGATAGCGTTCTAACAGCCTTGGAAAAGGTATAAATCCTCTTCTTCTCTCCCACCCATCTATGGGTAAATAGCAGGAGAGACCGTGTTCTAAAGCCTTGGATGGCAACTTGTTTACTGCAGAAAGAAAGGACAACCTACTTCGGTAAAAAAATCTGCCTCGTCAGTCATGTATCGAAAGGTACATGATCGCCTAAGCGTGTATCACGCATGGCACATAACTGACTGAGGCAAAAATAATTTTAAATTCTCTTTCATTTATAAGTTGAGACAGTCCTTATATTTCGACTGAATACTTGCTTGGTTACTTTGATATATTTTATTTAGCGCCATATCAACACCTCTATGGGTTATTTAAGGCCGAAATCTAAATATTTTGGACGCGGTTGTATATCATCAAGTACCGATAAAATGTATTGTTGGTCATTTTGTTATAAAATATATTGTTGGTAATTCTGTTATATCTGCTATAAAAGTTATTCTCAGTCATTTTGCTTTAAAAATATGTTCTTGTTAATTTTACTATGATTAGGTACTGTTGGTATTTTTACTATAATAATGTATTTTTATATTTTCATAGTGCTTTTTTTTTTTTTTGCTGGGGGATCGCTATTTGTCCATAGTCGGGACCCTAACGGGCACGATCACTCCTTGAATGAATCCTGTATATATGGGATCGGATTTTCTACATTTTTCAACCGATTTCAACAAAACTTCATTTTTTTTTTTGGCAGGTAGTGTTTCTTATTGTCTTGCACACTTTTTCTTTATTTTTACATTCAGAATGCTTTAAAAAATCCATTTACAAGACAATTGTTTATAATAAAATTCTATTCAATCGGTAGACTCATAACGATTGAAAACAATGCTTTTTTTGAGTTTGGGTTTGACCAATTCATAAAAAAAAAAAACCCAAAAAAACGAAACAAAAAAAAAAAAAAAAATTAAGACATGCGTGTCCGTCAACCTTAAACAATAATCTTTGTCAATTTTATTATTCAGTCTTTATGATGGTCGATACTTGATCTATCTCTTACTGTTACATCCCCGGGCAACGTCGGGCTCTACTGCTAGTATATATATATATCGATAAAAGCGTTCGTTTATTTTGGCGTGGTGTAATGATTAGCAAGCTTGTTTCCCCAGAAATGTTATGACTGATTAATGAGTTCGGTCCTCACTGTGTACACCATAATTTCGGCATTTTTCTACATCTAAGCTACGCTTAGAAAATCGATATATTGATAAGTGGTTTTAAAATATCTCACTTTGTCCTGTGCCTTTTTTTTTTTTTAATTCTGTGTTATTATTTTTAATCTACTTTGTATTTAATTTTTTTTTCTTTTCTTCTTGAGGATGTCTTCTCCTTCTTTGTTCTTCTTTTCTTCTTTTTTTTTCTTTTTCTTTAATTCTTTCGGTTTCTTCCTTGGTTGCTTCTTTTTTCATTCATTCTCGTCTTTCTTTGATTCATTCTGTTTCTTTTTCGAAAAACCAGAAAGAATGAAAAAAAGATTAAGCAATTAATTCTCATTTTTCTTTCGTTCATTCTTTTTTTTAATTTTTGGTCGTTTTTTTTTCATTTTTCAACCCCCTTCCTTCTTTGATTCGTTATTCTTTTATATTTTGTTTCCTTATTTTTCTTCCTCGATTCTCCTTCTTTTATTTTTAATTTTACTTTTCTTTGTTTTTCATTCCTTCTTTTTCATCCTTTTTTAATTACTTATTATTTCCATTCCTTCTTCTTTTCCTTCTTCTTTTTCTTTCTTTTTATCTTTTTTCCTATTTTTCTTTTGTTGTTTATTTTTCTTTTTTCATTCGTTTACTTTTTCCTTGATTTTTCTATTTTTTGTTTGCTTATTCTTTTTTTTTCATTCTCTTTATTACGTCTTCTTTTTCTTCTTCTGTCTATTGTTTAACTTTCTTTTTTTCTTTTTCTTTTCTCGCTACTTCTTTTTTTCTTTGGCTTTTCTATTTTTTGTTTACTTATTCTTTTATTCATTCATCCTAATTATTTGGTTAAGTCTTCTTCTTCTGCTTCTTTTTATAACTCACACACCTCTTTCTTTCTTTCTTTCTTTCTTTCTTTCTTTCTTTCTTTCTTTCTTGCTTGCTTGCTTTCTTATTCTCTTTTTTCTGCCTTTCTTTTCTCTCTTTGTCTGTCTGCCAGTCCAACCCGTCGATCTTTGTCTTTCCGTTTCTTTCTTTCTTATTCCTATTTTTCTATCATTCTTTCTTTCTTTCTTTCTTTTTTTCTTTCTTTCTTTCTTTTTTTGTCTGTCTGTTCAACACGTCCATCTTTCTGTCTTTCCGTTTTCTGCCTTTCTTATTCCTATTTTTTTTATCTTTCTTAATCTCTTTTTCTTTCTTTCTTATTCCCCTTTTACTGCCTTTCTTTCTTTCTTTCTTTCTTTCTTTCTTTCTTTCTTTCTTTCTTATTTCCATTTTAGATCTTTCTTTCTTTAAATTTTTTTGATTATTCTTTCTTTCTTTCTTTCTTTCTTTCTTTCTTTCTTTCTTTCTTTCTTTTTTCTTTCTTTTCTTTCTTTCTTTCTTCTTTCTTTCTCTTCTTCTTCTTCTTCTTCTTCTTGCCAGCCAATACTTTTTCATTGTTGTTCATTTTCTTGGCCGTTACTTGCAAAAATTCACCAATTCCTAATCCACCCTCTCCCAACCCCGTCATCTTTTAAACCCCAGCTTCAAACCTTTTTTTTCTTCTTCTGCACTCGCCTCCCTTTCAACCACCCACCCACCTTCCTTACACATCACAGCTTGTCCCCTTTATCCATCCTACCCGTCAAACACCACGTGACCACCCACGTAAGCCTGCCAAATTTTTCCCGCCAAAAAGAATCCCCCCTCCCTCCCGCTGTCCTCCACACGCTACTCAGTCTTTATTGTATTACAAACATTGGGTGCGACCCACCGTTTACGTCGCTGTCTTTGGTCCCATGATGTTTTCTATTAATATAATTATTACTATTACTGCTATTTTTGCTAATAACAATAACAAGAAGAGAAAAATGACACGAGAGGCGGCGGGGGGGGGGGGTTACTGATGACAGAAAAGGGCTGTGGGGAGGTATGACTAAAAGGGGGTAAGTGAGGAGCGATAAGAGCAAGTGATATCATTATCAATTATTATTATTATTTATTCTACGTCCGGTTGCACTGGTTCGATCTGTGCCTCTGTCAGCTAATTATTCCGGATGGTTACGTACTTGGGAATTAGTAAATGTCCTTAATGAACTAACGTCATGGGTTCTTCGAACTGACATTTTGGAGAGGAAAAAGCGATGGGGATCAAGACAAATAGAGAGAGAAAGGGACATATATATATATGCTTCGTGGGTGTTGAGAAGAGGAACAAAGTAACGTTAAAATTGGTATTAGAAAGATGAACAGGCGGCGTAGGAGGAGGAAGCGTGCGAAGACGGTTGAAAGTGAAAGTGAAAGTAGATGGACTTATTGAGGCGGAAATAGCGGCGGTATTTTTGGCGGCAAAAGAAGGTGACGTGCTGTTAAGGGAATTTGAAATGAGAGTTAGAGTCTCGGAAAAAAGGATTGTTCAAAACGGTGATTGGCATTGGACAAATGAAAGTTAGTGGTTGTGGTTGGAGGATCGAAATTCGAGTTTGAAATACTCGAAAGGTTGTAATTGTTGTGGCTGAAGAAATTTAATATGTTGACAAGATAGATACAGATATGGTCATATTAAGAGAAAAAGAGAGCGAGAGATAAACAGATAGATAGATATGGGCATATTAAGAGAAAGATATATATATATATAAATAGGTTGATATGGACATATTAAGAGAAAGAGAGAGCGGGAGATAAACAGATAGATAGATAATGACCATATAAAAAGAGAGAGAGAAAGATAAACCGATAAATATGAAAATATTAAGAAAGAGCGATAAACAGATGGACAGATATGGACATATTAAAAGAGAGAGATAAAAAAAGAGTGCTAAACAGATAGATAGATAGATAGATAGATAGATAATGAAAAGGCTGAGATAGATAGATAGATAGATAGATAGATAGATAGATAGATAGATAGATAGATAGATGGGGAAATGGTGAGATAGATAGATGCGAACAGGGTTAGATAGATAGATAGATAGATAGATAGATAGATAGATAGATAGATAGATATGGACATATTAACTGAGAGCGATAGACAATGAGAGCGATGAATGGATAGATATCGACCTAATAAGAAATAGGGAAACAGATAGATAGATATGGAGATATAAGAGAGAGAGAGAGAGAGAGAGAGAGAGAGAGAGAGAGAGCTAGAGAGAGCGTTAAACAGAAAAATAGATATGGACATATTAAGATAGATAGATAGATAGATAGATTGATAGATAGATAGATAGATAGATATGGACATATTAAGAGAGAGAGAGAGAGAGAGAGAGAGAGGGGGGCGAGATAAACAGGTAGATATGGAATTATTTAGAGGTAGGGAGATAAACAGCTAGATATAGAGGTATTAAGAGAGAGAGAGATATATGAGCAGATAGATGATATGGATATATTAAAAGAGAAAGAAAGAAAGAAAGAAAGAAAGAAAGAAAGAGAGCTAAACAGATAGATAGATAGATATGGATATATTACGAGTGTGTGATATTAAGAGAGTGTGATAAACAGATAGATAATATGGACATATTAAAGAGAGAGAGAGAGAGAGAGAGAGAGAGAGAGAAAGAGAGCTAAACAGACAGAGAGATAGATAGATAGATAGATAGATAGATATGAACATATTAAGATAGATAGAAAGATATGGACATATTAAAGAGAGAGAGAGAGAAAGATAGCTAAACAGATAGACAGATAGATAGATAGATAGATAGATAGATAGATAGATAGATAGATAGATAGATAGATATGAACAAATTAAGATAGATAGAAAGATATGGACATATTAAAGAGAGAGAGAGAGAGAGAGGGTGAGAAAGATAGCTAAACAGACAGACAGATACATAGATAGATAGATAGATAGATAGATAGAATATGTTAAGATAGATAGAAGATATCTATCTATCTATCTATATATATATATATATTTATATATATATATATATATATATATATTTATATATATATATATATATATATATATATATATATAGATAGATAGATAGAACAGACTGAGATAGATAGATATGAACAGAGATAGATAGATAGATAGATAGATAGATAGATAGATAGATAGATAGATATGAACAGAGATAGATAGATAGATAGATAGATAGATAGATAGATAGATAGATAGATAGATAGATATGAACCGACTGAGATAATTATAGATAGATAGATAGATAGATAGATAGATAGATAGATAGATAGATATAAACAGGTAGATGATATGGACATATTAAGAGAGACCAACATATAGATATAAAAGAGAGAAAAAAAGATATGTAGATATAGAGAGATTAAGAGACACAGAGATAAAAATATAAATATTTATATAAAGAGATTAAGAGAAATAGATAAACAGATATGAAGAGATTTTAAAAGAGCCAGGTGATGTACAGATAAATACATATGAACAGATAAAGAGAGGCAGAGATAAATATGTAAATATATATGAAGAGGTTAAGAGAGAGTGAGAGAGAAAGAGTGAGAGATAAACAAATATGAATAGATATATAGATATAAACAGATACAAGATGCGATGGATAAATTGTCATCGTCACTAGTGATCACTGCAAACACCTTCGTAATCAGCATTAGACTCCTCCAACTCTTTCTGAATCCTCTGCACTGAACTCAGATTGACATCTAAACACTCTGAAATGTTCGTATTGAATCTTCCGGTGCGAATGCCAAGCAGTAATATTTTTCACGCAGACGGTGCCCAACTGACCCAACTATATTGCGCATTCAACAAAATGAAAAACAAACAAATATCGAGCGCGAAATGAAAGATATAAAATGGCGACAATCTATCTTTCACACCCTGTAGATATGAAGAGATAAAAAGAGACAGAGGCAAACAGATTAAGATAGAGATTAAAAGAGAAGCAGAGAGATAAAAGAGATAGATATGAACAAACTAAGAGTGAGAGGACAACAGATATATATATATATATATATATATATATATATATATATATATATAGGAACAGATCAAGAAAGACATATATATATATATATATATATATATATATATATAAAGAGAAAGCTATTTGAAAAATGAGAGACAGAGGGTGAGCAGGGTATATATATATATATATATATATATATATATATATATATATATATGAAGAAATATAGTCTTAAGGTGTGCTATATTTATGAGATAAAGTGCTCAATATCAGAGATAGACCGTGCGTAAATATAAAAGTGAACATAGAAGTCAACACTTAGAGGCGACACTCTGTTTCATGCTATATGCAATCGTCAGGCCACTATCTATCTAGGTGGCCTGACGATTGCATATAGCATGAAACAGACTGTCGCCCCTAAGTGTTGACTTCTATGTTTACTTATATATATATATATATGAAGAAACATATATCGATAGATAGATATGAACAGAGACAGATAAATTGATAGATAGATATGAACAGAATGAGATAGATAGATATGAACAGAGATATATAGATAGATGTGAACCCACTGAGATAATTACATATAGATAGATATAGATATGAAGAAACATATATAGATAGATAGATATGAACAGAGATAGATAGATAGATAGATAGATATGAACCGACTGAGATAATGATAGATAGATAGATAGATATAAACGGATTTAATCGAAGACATAGAATGATAAATTCCCTGGAAAAATTCTTGGAATAAATATTAGTTCTGAACTTCTGGGACGATGAGTTATCATTATTTAAACTATTTACATTCGGACTATTATCCTCATCTTTGTTGTTAAGGTGGTAAATTTTCAATCTTTGTGCCCTCCGACCTTCATCAGGTGTATCTTGATCGTGATAACCAACCATTTGCTTAATTTACAGGTATAGACCGTTCACGTTCTACTGACCATATCTCGGGATATTGCGTCTAGTTCTTATTCTTAATATAATCAGGTATTGCTCCCTCTGTTTCTACTGTGTCCAAGTCCAAGTCCGGGGATTGAACTCACGAGGTTGGGTCGTTGAACAGTACTGGTGTCAGACGGCTTCGAATTACACTCGCACTAATACTACTTCCTAGATAATACATGCTGGAATAGTAACCTTCAAATAGTGATCCGAATAGAGAAATAGTACAGTGAATAGAGTAGAGAATAGCGGTGCGTATAATAATAGAGGATAGACTAGAAATAGCGATCCGTATAGTGATAGAGTATAGAGGAGAAATAGCATTCATTTAGACACACGTAACCTACCATCCGGACAGCGGAGAAACGCTTAGATTTGGAGGAAAAGTACATCCGTTTTGTGATGCCAACGAATACTCGTTGTCACTTTCGTAATGCTCGTTGTAGTAGAGACTTTGTAATCGCAGATACAACTATAGTAACACCGTTGAACAATACTGGTGTCAGATGCCTTCGAATATCACTCGCACTAATAGTACTTGCTCGATAATACTCGCTCGGATAGTAACCACCGTATAGAGATCCGAATAGAGAAATGATGCAGTGAATAGAGTAGAGAATAGCGGTCCGTATAGTATAGAGGATAGACTAGAAATGCAGATCTGTTAGTAATAGAGGATAGACTAAAAATGAAGATCCATATAGTAATACAGGATAGAATAGAAATAGCGGTCAATTAGGCGTAACAGTTGATCAATTTTGTGAACACTCGTTGCCACTTTTGTAATATCAACGAATACACATTGTCACTTTCGTAATGCTCACTGTAGTAGAGACCTTGTAATCGCAGACACAACTATAGTAACGCCGTTGAACAATGCTGGTGTCAGAAGCCTTCGGATATCCCTCGCATTACTAGTACTTGCTCAATAATCCTCGCTAGAACAGTAACCAATGTATAGTGATCCGAATAGTATAGTGAATAGAATAAAGAATAGCGTCCCCGTATATTAATAGAGGATAGAATAGAAATAGAGATCCGTATAGTCAAGAGGATAGAGTAGAATGCAGATCGTTAGTCGAAAGCTAGTTCCTACATATAGGCATTTCCTCTATGGTCACGTGGTCTACTTAATTCAATAATGGGATCGCCTGCGTTTGCTCACTGGCGATCTATGTTCAAACTCAAGTGTCGCCAGCGACACTTTATTCCTATATAACAACACAATATTAACTACAGGAAATGCGCAAATGACACCGTCTTGATGTCAAACGCAGAAAGAAAACTTTAGTTACTACTAAACAAGTTACGAGGGGAAGGTGGGAAGAAAGTGTTATGATTATTATCTAGAGGAACAGCCCACGATGAGAGCTACAAATTGAAGCAAGTTTAGAATTTAATAGCCTGGGAAGTTTGAAGAAAAATAAATTATTCTATCTGGTCAGAAACTTAGTTCATCGTATTGCAGACCTTACTTAAAAATCAAGCATCGTAATTTCTTGAAGAAATAAATTTATTTATTTTGATACCAGTTTCATTATTTTATATTTTCTGAAACTTATTTTATCGTATTGCAAACCGTACTTAATAATAAAGCATCGTAATGTCTTGGAGAAATAAATTTAGTTTATTTTGATACCAGTTTCATTATTCTATCTGGTCTGAAACTTATTTCATCGTATTGGAGACCTTACCTAAGATTAAAGCATCGTATTTTCTTGGAGAAATAAATTTATTTATTTTGATACCAGTTACATTATTTTATATTTTTTCTTTTTTGATAATATTTGGCCTGAAAACTACTTTATAGGATTGGAGATTTTACTTATCAGCTAACCGTTGTAATTTTGAAGAGGAATACATTTGTTTGATTTTGATAAAAGTTTCATTATTTTATCTGGTTTAACACATTTATGTGACTGAAAACATTACTCATCACTTAAAAGTTTTATTTGTGACGCAACTTGTTGCTTTTCTTTATCCTATCATTGACAGGCTCATATTTATTGACATATTATGAATTTATAATAATAATAATTATTATCATTATTATTGCAGGCTGCAATGTATATTTGAAGATCTTCAAAAAGCTATCAAATTACAAGGACCTTGAAATAGAAATTTCAAAAATGTGGCACATGGGAATATCAACAATCCCTGTTGTAGTTGGAGCCCTCAGATTGATTGGAAAATATTACACTAGACTAATTGAAGGGATTTCTGGAAGCACATGCTTTAAAGAAATACTAAAAATTGTTCTCACAAGTACAGCCACACGAAGGGCTTTATTTATGTAAAATATGTTTGTTTTTGTTTTTGTCTTTTTTTTTTAATTGGTCAGTGGAAAATATCATGATGTCATTTCTAACCTTAGGTCTCTGGGCGGGACCCGGAAAGAAATGTGTACACAACAGAAATGATAGGAAATAAAATAATAATAATAATGATGTATCTTTGAAGAGCTTTAAAAATACAAGAATCTTGAAGTGGGAGCTTAAAACATGTGGCACATTAGAACATCAATAATTCCAGTTTTAGTTTGAGCTTTATAACTGTTGGAAAATGGTCCGATAGACACATTGAAGGAATTCCTGATAGGCCATGACTTAATGAAATAAAAATATGTACTCAAATGTTCAGCTCATATATTACGAAGAGATTATCTATGTGCTACAGGATCTTGCCGATAATAATAATAATGGACTATTCCATACTTAATAAATACTGCGCCTCAGGAGTAGGCAAGAAGTCAGTCGTTCACCTCTGAACTGACTGCACGGTTCAACTCTCTTCTTACGGGCGAGGAACCCGAACCTGAAGGGCGGAGTCGCCTTCGGGAGGAGTCTGAACCCGTTTTATTCGGGTTCAACGGGCTATTTTTGGCCGAGCCTAATGGCTCGGGAATGCCCACGTTAAAAAGGCCCTGAACCCGTCAGTTTCATACGGGTTCAACTCTTCCCTGGGGCGAAAACCTGGGCTATTTTTTGGGCGGAGTCTAATGGCTCCCAGAACCCGAATGCCCACGGCCGAGCCTAATGGCTCAAGGAATGCCCACGTTAAAAAGGGCCTTGTGCCACATGACACCCTCGTGGGGGTGACTGAATATTGTCAGTCGTTCACCTCTGAACTGACTGCACGGTTCAACTCTCTTCCTTACGGGCGAGAGAAACCCGAAGGAGGCTACGCCGAAGGGCGGAGTCTCCTTCGGGAGGTTAAACTGGCCCAGAACCCGTTTATACGGGTTCAAACGGGTATTTTTTGGCCGAGCCTAATGGCTCGGGAATGCCCACGTTAAAAGGCCTTGTGCCACATGACACCCTCGTGGGGGGTGACTGAATATTGTCAGTCGTTCACCTCTGAACTGACTGCACGGTTCAACTCTCTTCCTACGGGCGAGAGGAACCCCGAAGGAGGCTACGCCGAAGGGCGGAGTCTCCTTTCGGGGAGGTTAAATGGCCCACCCGTTTATACGGGTTCAAAGGCCGAGCCTAATGGCTCGGGAATGCCCACGTTAAAAAGGCCTTGTGCCACATGACACCCTCGTGGGGGTGACTGAATATTGTCAGTCGTTCACCTCTGAACTGACTGCACGGTTCAACTCTCTTCTTACGGGCGAGGAGAAACCCGAAGGAGGCTACGCCGAAGGGCGGAGTCTCCTTCGGGGAGGTTAACCGGCCCTGAACCCGTTTATACGGGTTCAAACGGGCTATTTTTGCCGAGCCTAATGGCTCGGGAATGCCCACGTTAAAAAGGCCTTTGTGCCATGACACCCTCGTGGGGGTGATTGAATATTGTCAGTCGTTCACCTCTGAACTGACTGCACGGTTCAACTCTTCTTACGGGCGAGAAACCCGAAGGAGGCTACGCCGAAGGGCGGAGTCTCCTTCGGGAGGTTAAATCGGCCCAGAACCCGTTTATACGGGTTCAAATGGGCTATTTTTGGCCGAGCCTAATGGCTCGGGAATGCCCACGTTAAAAAGGCCTTTGTGCCATGACACCCCTCGTGGGGGGGTGACTGAATATTGTCAGTCGTTCACCTCTGAACTGACTGCATGGTTCAACTCTCTTCCTACGGGCGAGAGAAACCCGAAGGAGGCTACGCCGAAGGGCGGAGTCTCCTTCTTTAAACGGCCCTGGACCCGTTCATACGGGTTCAAATGGGTTATTTTTTGGCCGAGCCCTAATGGCTCGGAATTCCCACGTTAAAAAGCCTTGTGCCATGACACCCGTGGGGGGTTGAATATTGTCAGTCGTTCAAACTGACTGGCATTTCAACTTCTTCCCTACGGGCGAGGAACCCGAAGGAGGCCGCCGAAGGGCGGAGTCTCCTTGGAGGTTAAACTGGCTCCCGTTTATACGGGTTCAAATGGGCTATTTTTGGCCGAGCCTAATGGCTCGGGAATGCCCACGTTAAAAAAAGGCCTTGTGCCACATGACACCCTCGTGGGGGGTGACTGAATATTGTCAGTCGTTCACCTCTGAACTGACTGCACGGTTCAACTCTCTTCCTACGGGCGAGGAACCCGAAGGAGGCTACGCCGAAGGGCGGAGTCTCCTTCGGGAGGTTAAACCGGCCCAGAACCCGTTTATACGGGTTCAAATGGGTTATTTTTTGGCCGAGCCCCTCAATGGCTCGGGAATGCCCACGTTAAAAGGCCTTTGTGCCACATGACACCCTCGTGGGGGGTGACTGAATATTGTCAGTCGTTCACCTCTGAACTGACTGCACGGTTCAACTCTCTTCCTACGGGCGAGAGGAACCCGAAGGAGGCTACGCCGAAG